CGGAAGAAGGCATCAGATCTCATTATAGATGGTTGTGAGCCACCATGTGGGTGCTGGGAATTGAACTCAGGTCCTCTGGAGGAACAGCCAGTGCTCTTAACCTCTGAGCCATCTCTCCAGCCCCTGTTTTCTGGTTCTTATTACTTGTTTTGTTGTTGGTTTTTTGTTTGTTTTTTCTTTCCCCCAAGACAGGGTCTCATTGTGTAGCTCTGGTTGTCCTGGAACTCCCTCTGTAGACCAGGCTGGCCTCGAACTCACAGAGATCCACCTGCCTCTGCCTCCCAAGTGCTGGGATCAAGGCATGTGCCACCACACCTGGACTATTTTCTGTTGCTATATTTAAAAAAAAAAAAAAAAAGAGCTGTGGCTGGGTATTCTTAAGAAAAGGAGGCTCAGAGCCTGGTATTGGCAGCTGCTTGGCTCTGGTCATGTCACAAGGTCAGGCACCTGCACAGGTGTTAACACGGTAGAGTCAGGCATGAGGCATGTTCATTTTATCATTCACTTTTGGGAGAACCCAGGTCCTCTGAGACCTGAACTAACTCCTTCCAACAGTACCGCCTCCAGTAGCCTGGCCACCGCCTGCTGAAGGTTCCATCACCTCTCAGCATTGCTAGAGTGAGGATCGAGCTTCCAGCACATGGGCTTTTGTGGTACACACTCAGGCCATATCTAAATGAAGCATATCCAAGCAGTGTCAGTGGGAGCTGAGGAGCTGCTGTGTTCCTTCTCAGGCCTGTGCTAGAGGCTTGTGAGCACGAGAACTGCCCCTGCTCTGTCCTCTGTTACCCAGCCATCCTCACACAGCTAAGAGTGACTGGCAAGATTCAGCATCACCATTTACATCTTCTATAGTAGGAAACTGAGACCCAGGAGGCGGGAGCCTTGGGCAGGGTCCTGGAAGGACTTGAGGGTGGGTCTGTGGGGTGCAAGCCTGTACTTCCCTTGGGCCTGCTGCTTTATCTGGGGGCTGTTTCACCAAGAGTTCCATCTGCTTCCTTCGGCAGATGCTGACCTTCATCATGCTGGCCCGGCTGGCCACCCTTTGTCCTGCACCTGTCCTGCAGAGGGTAGACCGGCTCATCGAGCCACTCAAAGCCACCTGTATTGCCAAGGTATGCCCTGCCCCGCCCCGCCCCGCCCCGCCCCGCCCCGCCCTGCCTGGGCCCTGGAATGCCTGGCAGGTCTAGTCACTCCTCACTGTACCATGTGCACTGCGGTAGTGTGCTAGCTGCTTCCATCATCCTGTTGCCCTAGAATGTTCTGTTGCCCAGGGCTATACAGTGTCAGAGGCTGAGAGATTCCTTCATTAAAAACCTCCTGGTTGCTGGGCTGTGAGAGGACCCAGGGTACAATGCTGTGCATGCTGGTTCTCTACTTAGTCTTTGCAGATCCCAGCTGGGGAACTGGGCCTGACTCCTGTGAATGATTGATTTGATTGATTGATTGATTGGCTGCTTCAGGGCAGAGCCACTGCTTACGGGAAGTGTCTCAAGGTCTTGAGGGGAATCTAGGGTGAAGGTGTCATGGAAAGCTGTAGTGTTGGGAACAGCCTGGGCATGCTCAGGGTCCCAGTGAAGATCTGTTGCACAAAAGAACTTGTGAGTGTGTGACTTATGTGTATTGCACGTGTATTGTGTGTCTAAAGGCCAGAGGTTGACTTCAGTTGTCTTCCTTGATCTCGCCACGTGTTTTTGTTTTTCTCATACAGTTTCACTTTGTAGCCCTGGCTGTCCTAGAACTCTGTAGACCGGGCTGGCCTCTAACTTGAGATCCACCTTCCTCTGCCTCCCCCGTGCTGGGATTAAAGGCATGCGCCCGGCTCCATGCTCAGCTCTTATGTGGATCTCAACTCAGGTCCTCAAGTTTGTACAGCAACTGCTTTGCAAACTGAACCATCTCCCCACCACCCACCACCCCCATTTGAGTTTTGGAAGGATAAGATTTAGCCAGAAAGAGGGCCAAGAATTTCAGTCTTAAGGAGAAACTCAGAGTAGTGTCTTGGTTTTCTTAAAAAAATCCTGTGATCCCGAGGTAGACTTCAGAGTGACTCCTTCCTCCTCTCTTGCCTTCCATGTGGCTGAGACTATAGGCCTGTGCCACGTTGTTTTTTCATTTTCTTTGTGTGGGTGGGGAAGGGAGGGGAGAGAAGACAGTCACTCCTGGCCTCGGACTCAACAGGGTCAAAGATAACTTGAATTTCTGGCCCTTCTGCCCCCACCCCCAAATGTTGGGATTACCAGCTATGTCCAACTACACCAGATTTACATGGTGCTGAGGCAGGTCCCCTTCATCAAACCCAGGGCTTTGTGCATGCCAGGCAAAGCACTCTGCCAACTGAGCCACATACCCAGCCCCAAAGTTGTGATTTTTCACATAGCAACACATTAGCAGAAAAAAATGAAACCTGATGTGAATCAGATTGAAATTAGGCCTTCATTAATCTGAACCCTGTGTGTTTGAAATGGGTAACATAGGCTCAGTAAGGACACTGTCTCCCTCTGCAGGTCAAGGCTGGTTCTGTGAAGCAGGAGCTGGAGAAGCAGGATGAGTTGAAGCGCTCAGCAATGCGGGCAGTGGCTGCCCTGCTGACCAACCCTGAGGTACGGAAGAGCCCCAGTATGGCTGATTTCTCTACCCAGATCCGATCCAACCCAGAACTCACCACCCTCTTCGAGAGCATCCAGAAAGACTCAGCCTCTGGTCCCAGCATGGATTCTATGGAACTCAGCTAGCTGTCCCCAACACGAGCCTCCTCTCCCACCCCCATAGGCCGTGGCCTCTCCTGCCCTTCCCAGTCAGCCTCAGTGCCTTTGTTAGGGCTCCTACTCACAGGCCTCAGCCCCAGTGCCAGAGCTGGGCCCGTTAACTCAGGACAGTCATTCGTAGATGGGGTAATGGTCCACCACCTTTACACTGCTTCTCTCCACTTGTTTAGAAGCCAGCATTGGATTGTAGGATTTGTCTTCCTACTTCATTTACTCTGGACTCCAAATGTCAGAAATCAGCACCCTGGCCAAGGATAGGGCTGTGTAGAGCCCAGGCAAGCTCTGGACCTGGGCCCAGGAGACCCAGTTTATACTTCCTAACACTCAGAATGCCTCATTTCTAAGAATTGTTTCCAGGGAAGATGGTATGGATCACTAGACAGGCTTGGGCCTGCCATGTGAAACATCTCTAACCTCATCACCAAGGCGTGTAACAGTTTGTATTCTTCCCAAGGTGTGTAGTGGTCAGTACTGAAAATCCAAGTCTAAATAACAGGCCAGAACCACCTCTACCCTCCAACCCCCCAGCAGCGTTTCTGTGTAGCCAGACTGTTGTGGAACTCGCTCTGTAGACCAGGCTGGCCTACAGAGATCCGTTTGCTTCTGCCTGGGATTAAAGGCCGGCTGAGGCCAGTTTTGTGATCTGAATAAAGAACAGATTTGACATTCTCACATAATTTTTTTGGTTTTTTGAGACAGGGTTTCTCTGTGTAACAGCCCTAGCTGTGCTAGAACTCACTTTGTAGACCAGGCTGGCCTTGAATTTGGAGATCTGCCTGCCTCAGGTATGCGCCACTATGCCCAACTTCATGATCTCATTCATAGTAGCTAGTTTCAATACAGTTCCCAGGTTGACTCAGGGCTGAAGGAGGCACAGACCTGTTATCCCAGCTGCTTAGGCTGGGGGAGGAATTGCAAGTTCAAGGTCATGATGAGCAATTTAGTAAGACCATATCTATAACCAACAGGGCAAGAGATGGCTGTCACAGGCTGCTCTTCATAGGACCCAGGTTCAATTCCCAGCCCCCATGGCAGCAGCAATGCCTGTCCCAAGGGATCTGAAGCCTTCAAGGCACATGCAGGCAAACCAAAATTAAAGTATCTCAGTGGTAGAGCACTTGTCTACCATGTACACTATTTTAGGTTCAATCCCAAGACTACAGCAAGGGGGAAAAAAGTCCTTAAAATAATCAGTTCTTGCACAAATTTGTTTTTGGGGATTAAGAGGGCTGCATGTATACTAGGCCTTCAACTGAGCTATTCCCGCAGCTCAATTTTGACCAGACCTGTAAGGCATTTGTAATCTACAGGATCTAGTCTAGTCTAGATCAGCCTCATTTCTAAAAATGACAACAGCAGAAAAAAGGCTGGGGTGCATTTCTGTCTAGTCACGAGTGTCACTTGCCACACCCCTCTGAACTGTACTGTCTCAAAAAAAAAAAAAAAAGTGGACTAGAGACCAGCCTGTGCTACATGCAGAACATCGCCGTAAAACAGAACCCAGATTAACCTGTGACTAGTTTTGAATATGCAGCACTGCCCCTGCATATTCGTGGTAGAACCACACCTGCCAGTTTCATGAATAATCAGTCCTCCAAAGACAGTCATGGTAGCTGTCAGTCCTGAGTGAGGCTAAGCAGGAGCCCTGTTCACAAACAGGCTTCCTCAGTCTTGGGCCATGCTCACAGCTGGGCCGGTGAGAGCAGCGCTGGCCTGTGCTCATGGCCTCTTCCATGTTTCACTCGCTCTGGATTCCCAATGCTGCAGACCCACAGTGGCCAAGTCCTTTCTCCTTCCTCACACCACCTCAGGCAACCACGTCATGCCTGCCCGTGCACAGACCCCCTCAACTGGAGGTTCCACCGGTGTGGGGCGTTTACCCACCACCCCCACAGTTCCCCAGAGTTTTCTTGAGTGTGAGCAGCAGGAAATATTAGAAGGATTTATTGCAGAGAATCTTGCGGAGATAAACAGAAAATAAAGGATAGCCTCGAGAGGGCCTGGAACCTCTTCCAATGGGCCCCGACTGTCTCTGCCCCAGGGTTTTTATAGAGACACCAGGGGGTGGAGCAAAAGACCTCCTCCCCAGCACAGCCAAGTGCAGACCATCTCAGACACCTGCACTCAGGCCCGTGGTCTAATCATCCTCTATTCGGACCTGCTGGGTAAAGCCACAAGGAACCTGAGAACGGGCTCCCACACACCGGGGACCACTAAGAAGCAAAGACAATCTCCAAAAAGGCAGAAAATGCCAAGGCGGCAGTTTTTGTGGTTTTATTTAAACACAAATAAAGCACAGAGGCAAGCCATCTACTCGTTTTCTTCGCTGCGAAGCCTGGCGTTGGGGTTGGTGACTCTGATGGCCAGCTGTGCTGCTCTTTCCACGATGGCTTTTCGGTTCTTGGAGGAAACGTTGTGAGCAATCTCAGCACAGTAAGATCTGAAAGAGAAGCATGTCAGTGAGCAGGGAGCAAGCCAGGAAAGGTCACCAGGGAGGTAGTGACTCCTGTCTCTCGCCTCCCACTCCACTGTCAGGCAGAGGGTTCTGGCAAATGGCTTAATGAGCCCCGAAGGCACTAAGGCTCCTGCAGAGGTCTATGGTAGTGACAAGACACTAACTAGTCTACAAGGAGGTGGTGGGTCCACATCAAGACTCAGGTTCTTCCCCACACCTGAGTGACTAACCCGGAATAATTCTTTGGGCTTGGAAGCCCAACCACTGTCAAGAACAGTTCAAGTAGAGTGAACAACAAATATTGTGTTACCCCCCAAGTGTTGACAAACTGTCCGAATGAGCACATTCCCAGTAATGGAGGTGACCATAAAGCCCCAGCCAGGGAGCTGATGAGAAACCATTTGAGAAGCAGGACTGCAGAGTGAATAGCAGGGGTTTTCCCAAGAGGAAAGCAGCTGGACAGCAAACACCGAGTCCAGACAGACAGACCCTCACTTTACAAAGGCATCTACACTTATCTGGGGACAGATCCAATTACCCCTTAGATCATAAAGCCTATGTCCCTGGCTACCCGCATGCATAACCATAACCAGCACATCCACCAGAACTCTTCCACCCAGGACTTCCTTTTCAGTGTTTTTTTTCCTTTCTGTAACTGCCTTTCAACTTCCCCTGCTTCTCAGTCACACAGGGGAAATGCCTAGACAGAATGCAGTGGCAGGTGCACCTGCAGACTTCGCTCAACATGCCAAGCAGCTGTTAGGCAGCTGAGATGTAATCATAAGAAATGCAGCACCAACCTACCTTCTGTACATAATCAACTCCCCATGCTGACTGACTCCCTCCATCTGTATTACAACCACCTCAGAGAACAGACACACCTTCAATCACTCTAATTTACTTGGGGAAAAAATAAATGCAGCTTCCCAAACTATTTACCAGGAAGGAAAAATAAACTCTTTCTACCACATATTCATACCTAGACCCAGTGTCAGGGCATTTCCTGGGAGGCCTTGGCTTTGATGGAGCTGACCAAGCATCTCATGCAAGGATTTTAACTTGCTCCAAGTACACCCCACAACCTTCTCTCTACAGCTGTGTCTGCAGCTGCCTTTTCTCTACCTCAGCTCCTACATACCGGCACCACTCTGCAAATCCCCTTGCCACAGCAGAGCCAAGCATTGCTTGGGTCCGAGGTTAAACCCTCCTAGTCTCACACCACTACATCAGTGTTCCAGACGGGACCATAAAGGACACCCAACACCCACTGCATCAAGTGAGGCCCTCCCTCTTCTCCAGTCTCAGTTCTCAAACCTTCTGAGCATATATGCTCCCCTCAACCAAGGCAACACTGGACTCCCCAACAAGCATCCTCTCTAAGCTCCTGCAAAGAATGGCTTCGGGTTTCCTCATGCATGTCTACCTGGGTGCCTCAACAGGGCCTCTCAGGAGGCAGGCACACTCTTAACCAGGCCGGAGCCCAACTTACTTGTTGCACATCAGCAGCACTTCCAGCTCCTTGACATTGTGGACCAGAAACTTCCGGAAGCCGCTAGGCAGCATGTGCTTGGTTTTCTTGTTGCTCCCGTAACCAATGTTAGGCATGAGGATCTGGCCTTTGAATCTTCTCCGCACCCTGTTATCGATACCTCTGGGTTTCCGCCAGTTTCGCTGAAGACACACAGGCAAGTTAGTCTCTGTGCAAACTGCCAGCTCTTCCTTGGCAGGAAGGGGGCTAAATTCAAAGGGGACATGCCATACAAGAGGCAACCTTAGGTAACATCTTCCTACTTCTTTAAACACTTTTAACAGGAAACAAACTAAAAGCTCCCAGGGCCACGGCTCTGCTGTAGAATTTCCCAACAAAACCAAACCCTCCCTATACCTGACCACAAATTCAGACCCACGTGGGTCAAAATAAGCCAAGACTGTGTGTGCAGTACAATGATTGGTCTGTGTGCTGTTCTCAAGACCCAAATTTTGTGCCCCATAAAACACACACCCTAGGGGCTGGAGAGATGGCTCAGAGGTTAAGATCAGAAATTAAGAGCACTGACTGCTCTTCCAGGGGACCTGGGTTCAAGTCCCAGCACTTACATAGCACCTCATAACTGTCTGCAACTCAGTTCCAGTGGATCTCACACAGACGTAAACGCAGACTGAACACCAATACATATAAATACATTTTAAAAAGTGCACTGGCTGCTCTCCCAGAGGTCCTGAGTTCAATTCCCAGCTCTCACACCTGAGGCCCTCTTCTGGTTTGCCGACAAACACCCACACAAAATATGTACAGAAATAAATACATCTTTAAAAAAATAAGGTCAGGCTGCAGAGATGGCTCGGGGAACACTCAGGGAACTGCCTGCTGCCAAGGTGACAACCCACGCCTGATCACCTCGACCCACATGATGGAAGTAGAATCAGCTCCTGAAAGTCTCCTGACCTTCTTACACATGGAAACAGTGTCACTTCAGGTGACGCCAGAAATGTGTGCTTAGAACTTAACCCCAGCACTCGCTTCCACCCAGGACCTCATACTTAAATTTCTTTTTTTTTTCCGAGACAGGGTTTCTCTGTGTAGCTTTGGAGTCTGTCCTGGAACTCACTCTGTAGACCACGCTGGCCTCGAACTCAGAGATCCGCCTGCCTCTGCCTCCCCAGTGCTGGGATTGGCACACATACCTTAATTTTGACATATCGGTCTGACTGGTGCCGGATGAACTTCTTGGTCCTCTTTTTGACGATCTTGGGCTTCACCAGAGGCCGGAGGGCAGCCATGATGCCTACAAAAAAGAGGCAGATCCACGTTATCGAAGAACCGGGGAGGGGAAGTTGCTTGTCCAAGGCTTGAGTGATGTTGCAGAGTGTCTTCCAATCACCAGCTACTGAGCAAACTGGGAATGGAATGGGTACCTCTGCTAGGCTTGTTCTCCCTCCTGCTTCCGAAGCTGGCAGAGTACTAGCTACTCTCCAGACGCGATCTCAAGAGGTCAGGGGTCACCTCAGCCATTCTAACCTCAAATGAATGGCAGCAGCCGACCTAAAACCCGAAGCAAGACATTCTAGTGGGCAAGGGGCAGCAAATCCCACCCCACTAAAGCTTCACAACCACCAAGCGGTCGTTGTTAAGTTTTGCGCCCTCAGACACGCAAAACCACCCTGTCCTTCTAACACACCATCACTGTCCCTCCCAGATCGCCTCGGGGCACCCACAGAAAGGTATTCTGTTCCCTCCAGGCAACCTGCTAGGTCGGGCATGCACTATGTACCCAACAAACATCTTCAGCAAGCGTCTCTGCTCCCTGGCACCTCGAAGGCAAGACCGCGGCGGCCCTTTCCGCTACCAAAGCCGCTAACAAGCGACCCGCCGGCCAGGGAGTGCCGGGAAAACGGCGTGCGTCATCCCAAGTCCACCGTCCGCATGGCAGCAAACCCGGCCCGGGCCGCCGACTGGCCCTGGGCGCACTCCGTAGCAGCTCGAGCGGCCAGTAGGCCCGGCCCGTGCGCGCTCGCCACTGCGGCGCCAGCGCGGAGTCCGACGCCGAGGGTTCCCCGCCTGGCGGTGCCAAGGCCTCTTCCCACCCGGCGACAGGGCCGCGCCGAACCCACAGACGGACGGATGGCCGGCGATGCAGACTCACCGCTAAAGAGATGGCAGCCACCTCGCAGGCAGCGCCGAGGAAGAAGGAAGGGGCGGGGGCGCGCAAGGGAGGATGGGAAGGAGCCTCAGGTCCTGGAAGGGAAAAGTGAAGCACTTCCGGCTCTGGGTCCGCCAAAGGAACCTAAGACGTGTCTGAGAAGTAATGCTGAAAAAAAAAAGAAACAGTGTACTTATATTCTGTACTAGACATTAACATCTTGGAATGAACTAAAAATGTATCTTCCTCTTAGGATTACTTAGGAAATTTGTAATTCCTTCTGAACTAAGACCTGCTAGGTGGGCATCTACTTCCGCCCGAAGTGGACGCCCAATCGGTTTTTAATATATGTTCGCTTCCGAGTGCGCCCCCTAGTCGCTAGGAGGTAGCAAAACAGGTACTTCTTTGAAGGGTTCCCCGTGGGGGGTTGGTGGGGGGGGGGGGTTGAGCAACTGTCCTAAGACATCAGAATATACTGATGTCCAAACTCCCTGGACTATGAAGTGCTACAGAGCCTGCCCGCGTCTTCCGTATGTTTTAAATCATCTCTACGTATGGTATGTACCTAGGGCAAAGTATTAAGTGCTAGATATATTGCTTAGAAAATAATGACAAGAAAAGTGGTGGTGCACGCCTTTTAATCCCAGCACTTGAGAGGCTTTTGGGAGGTGGAGGCGGGCTGATCTCTTTTAATTCAAAACCGTAGGGAGTTCGAGGCCAGCCAGTGGTACATAGTGAGTCCCGCCCCCTACACACACGAATGCACAAAATCTGTGTACTTAATACAGATGCAGTTTTATTTTCGAATGTTCTCATTTTTCAGTTGGTTGAATCTGTGAACGCACCTGTGGAGCTAGGGCTATGGAGGGCCAACTTTTCATAAAAATGAGACTCTAACAGCTAACCCTCCATGGGAGTGTATGTTCTTGGCACAGTTGTACACAGTGGCTTTGTTCTTTCCTTCATTTGTTATGTATGGGAAGTGAATTTGGGAGACATGGCTCCAAGATCCATGCTTCCAACCATTCAGCTGCCTCGCTTTAAAATTGTTCCTGGTACGCCGGGCGGTGGTGGCGCACGCCTTTAATCCCAGCACTTGGGAGGCAGAGGCAGGTGGATCTTTGTGAGTTCAAGGCCAGCCTGGTCTAGATGAGCGAGATCCAGGAAAGGCGCAAAGCTGCACAGAGAAACCCTGTCTCGAAAAACCTAAAAAAAAAAAAAAAAAATTGTTCCTGGTAGCTGGGCGGTGGTGATGCACGCCTTTAATCCCAGCACTTGAGAGGCAGAGGCCGGGGGATCTTTGTGAGTTTGAGGCCAGCCTTGTCTACAGAGTGAGTTCCAGGACAGCCAGGACTGTTTTCACAGAGAAACCCTGTCTGGAAAAATCAAAGAAAAAAAAATGTTCCTGTTTTATTTTGCTTAGCTTTTGATTTTCAGATCATCGTGAAAAGTCTAATTTTAGGAGGACATAAAACCAAACCAAGGGCTAGAGAGATGGCTCAGTGGTTAAGAGCACTTGCTGCTCTTGTAGAAGACCCGGGTTTAGTTCCCAGCACCTACATGTTGCCTCACAAACTTGTAACTCCAGTCCTCGGGGATCCAATGTCCTCTTCTGTAGGCACTGCATGCATGTGGTACATACACATACATGCAGGCAAAACACCCAAGCACATAGAATAAATCTTTTTTTGTTATTTTTTGGTTTTTAGAGACAGGGTTTCTCTGTGTCTCTGGACTGTCCTGGAACTCACTCTGTAGACCAGGCTGGCCTTGAACTCAGAGATCTGTCTGTCTCTGCTTCCTAAGTGCTGGGATTAAAGGCAAGTGCCACCACTGTCTGGAAGAATAAATTTTTTTAAAAAAAAATTAAAACCACCTTGACTCTACAACTCAAACACAACAGATGTCACTGGTGATCTTGGCAGTGGTTCCAGGAGATGGGGACAGAAGCTGAATAAGATGTTTTGCCCCAACAGGAAGTGAGATGGGATGAGAGCAGGAATGCTGCCAACTCACCTTGAGGTGCTGCCTGTAAAGGGGAGTGGAGACCCAGGAAGTGAAGTGTCGTGCCTGAGATGGCTAGCTAGAAGCAGCAGGGTGAGGCATAGCTCTCCTGTGCCTATGGCTTGCCCACCCTTCCTGCAGGCTGCGTGAAGTCCAGTGGCATGTGGATCATGGAAGGGCACAGCTAAGGGCAGCTTACAGAGTACATTTCACCAAGGGAAAGTCAGGCGAGTGAATCATAACGAAGGCCCATGAACCAGAGAGTATGTCTCTGATTTCTGAAGATCCACAGGGATTGAGGGCCTCAGTCTAATGGGGAGATGAGAATGCTGCTACCTCATTTTGCAGAGGACACTCTGTCTGTTGCATCTCTGTGGGCACTCATGTCCCAGGATGAGAGGTGGGAGGGGTCCTGGGGAACCTGTGTCTTACACACTCACACCTTCAAGTTTCCCAGTCCTTAAGCAGGAAATCACATAAGGTAGGCTACAGGTCAGCTCTAACCTGGTTTATTTGAAAAGGGCAGAGGTCGTGACAGGGTAGCAAACACAGCATGTGTGTGCCTGGACACATCCACACTCCCAGGCACTGGACACTGTGGCATCAGGGGACACAGCTCCAGACCGTCCCTGGGAATGTTTCTTGTGTATGGCTCTTTGATGTCTCATGTCTGCAGCTGGGGGCCGCTGGCTGGACTGTCTTCCGGCCCAGTGGCCCCCAGGCCATTCTAGTTGATGGAGTACACCTTGTTTGCATCATAACAGGCCTGGGTCAAGTAAGCCCAGTCTTTCAGGGGCCACCAGTCCTTAGAGTAGTAGGCGGCAGGGTAAGCATAGTGTGGGGTTTCCACACGGCTGAAGATTGCCTGGCTCCGGTCCCTGGCCACAGTGGGCAGGTAGAGCCGCAGCTTGTCCAGAAGGTGACCGGGCCAGAAGTGATTGGGGTGGGTGTTTGAGAAACCACTGAGCCTCTTGGCCTTCAGCTTCCTGGAAAAGGAAAAGACACAGGGAAGGCTGCTGTGGCAGAGACACCAGTCAGGGCTCCTTCTCAGCAGATGACATGAGCCGCGACCACGCTCCACAGTATGGAAAGCACTACACACTTCAAGTCTCCTCACCAGTGAGGACCCAGAGGTCTAGAGATCAAGATCGCACAGTGAGTGAGTGGCTAAGTTCAGGCCCCAGTCAGTGCTTCTTAAACCCAAACTTAGATGAGTGCTGTCCTTGTCTAGAGCAGTGGTTCTCAGCCTTCCTAATGCTGCGACCCTTTAATACAGTTCCTCACGCTGTGGTGACCCCCAGCCCTAAAATTATTTTGTTACTACTTCATAACTAAAATTTTGCTACTGTTAGGAATCATAATTAAATATCTGCGTTTTTCGTTGTTCTTAGGCGACCCCTGTGAAAAAGTCATTCGACCCCCTAAGGGGTCACAACCCACAAGTTGAGAACAGCTCTAGAGGCTTTGCTTCCGCGCCAGCCCCCTTACCTCACCCGTCCTGTGCAGGGCGGGCCTCACATGCTCTGGGCTGGTACCCAGCTGCTAAGCTACACCTAGCCCCATCTGGACGCATCTGGATATCATGTCTGGACTCTAGCCTCAGGAGCCAGCCTCACTGGGTTCAGCTTCAGGTGTGGGACTGTGTATCAACGGGGTCTCCTCTGACGGGGTCTCCTCGGACGGGGGCGTCCAGAGCAGCTCAGGCTGGTTGGTCACAACACAGGTGAGTTCACTTAGAGGAGGCCCCAGAGCAGCCATGCAGGGCACGCTCCGAATGCTCCTCTGCTGCCCCTTCGGCCCGCCCGCGGCACGGAGCCCCACGACAGTCCTAGGCTCTTGCCCGGTGTGCACAGGTCCCAGGGCTGCCTCTGGTTAGAGGGGAGGCCAGCCTTCTCGTCTTTATCCCCCGCCCTCCTGGCGGACACGCAGGACCACTACAAACCTAGTGAATTCCTCGAACTCCTGAAAGTGCATTTTCTTGAGTTTCTTGGATGTTTTCCTAGTGGGGGATAGAGAGAGGCATTGTTAGAAGTTCCAGCAGCCAGCGGCGGCGGCGGCGGTGGCGCACACCTTTAACCCCAGCGCTTGGGAGGCAGAGGCAGGCGGAGCTCTGTGAGTTGGAGGCCAGCCTGGGCTACAGAGGGAGATCCAGGACAGTCAGGGCCACACAGAGAAACCTTGTCTCAAAAAACAAACAAACAAACAAAAAACAAACAAACAAACAAACAAAAGACCCATAAAAGAAACTTCAGGAAAAGTAGGCTTTGGGGAGCAAGTGGGGGCCATTCAGGGGTGTGTTTCTGAGTCTCAGACCAGAGTGCTGAACATCTTTCTTTTGTGGTGAGGTCCTAGCTGTGTCTCCCACACCAAGGCACTGGGCTTAGCCAGATTGGAGGAGGGAAGAAAACCTTGGCTTTCTTTGTCTGTGGCAGGGAGGCCTCCAAAATAGTTAGTTGAAGTGTTCAGCACCTGGTAGATGCTGAAGCCTGTCACTCCCCCTTCCAGAGGCCAAGCTCCCTGGGACAAGCATGGTAAAGACTCACCCTCTATTCCTTAGCCCAGCAGGCGTCACTAGCCAGATTCCTTCCCAAGCCCACATCTGGCTCAGAATCTCTGTTTTCTTCTGATACAAAGGGTTGAACTCTGGGCCTTGTGTACTCTCTACCCTAGTGCCTGGCCTCAGGATCTCCTACAATCTAGTCACTAGTGGTGAGAGAGAGCCCATGTCTCTCCTTTAGCTAGGGACCGCTCTTTCTCTTTCACATCTGTGGCTGGTCAAACACAAGCAAAAATCTCTTTCTTGGGCAGCCACCCACTTCCTGGATTCATGGCTTAGGAATTGGGGACAGTCAGCCCCAGGTTAGGAGGCACATCTCAGAGGCTCTCTAAGCTACTGCCAGCCTGGGTCACGCTCAACACTTTGCAAGCCACAACTGCTGTGGGCCTAGACTGTCCCTGTACTCAAAACCACTTGGACAAGTGCATCGTAAAGC